AATTATCTATATATTAATTCTCTCCGCCGCTGGTTGTCCACTGCCGAACATCATTGATGTCTTTGATGCGCTGAGAGAAGCGGGTCTACTGCCAAACATCATTGATTTCTTTGATGTGCTGGGATAAGTGGTCCCGCTGCCAGACACGTTTGGCATCATGAATATGTTCGGTAGACCTTGCCGTGGTGGCGGGGTTTTTCACTAAAGGGCAACCAAACAGCAAGAATTCAGCGAGGAATCACAAAATTCAAAGAAAGTACCCTATGTGAGCAGGCCGGAAACGGGAAATCTCACCATCGGTCCCAGGACTGATGCTCAAGTGCGCGCGGATTGTGGGGGCGCACAATTTCTTGCAGTGCCACGGGTGATCGTGGAAAGATTAGATCCACAGAACATCGTGGAAGGAAAAAAAATGAGAAAAGGAAGCGCGTCGAGCCTTCTGACTGTGTCTAGCTGCAGTAGCGGAAAGACTGTACATAGCGCTATCCACTCAGAAGTAGACGACGAGGCGATAGAAGAGACTTGTGAGATATGCTCGCGGCTTAGAAAGGAGGAGGCGACTTGCCTCGACAAAATGGAGTTGGAGGTCGCAAAGATGATAAAGTCTTGCGACATTTAAAAGAACGTCAATAGGACGGTAAAAGATGGCCTCAGAGCGGCCGATGAGTCGGACTTCGATTTAATATGCGTTCTCAGCGGTGCGGAGTGTAACCGCAAGGACTGTAAGGAAGAGAGAGAGCGTTCATATAGGCGTAATCTGAAAAGCGTCATAAGAGATGCTGAGAAACGGAAGCGAGAGGGTGACAGTCCAGAGGAGACTAGAACCCCAACCCATAAGAGGAAAAAGGAGGAAGCTCCTCCAATGGAAAAGGAAGTACCAGATCCAAAGATTCCTTAATTGGAAAGAATGAGGTCAAAAAGATCCGCAGTTTTAATCCGAGTCGGTCAAGAATTAACGTATGCTGACGTTTTGGGTAAACTTCGCAAAGAGGTCAACCCGGACGACAGCCATACGAGAATAGTAAAAGCAAAAGCTACTAAGAAGGGAGACCTACAGATTAAGATCAGACGACGCTCCAACAAGGACGCTTTCACTGCTGAGGTCACCAGAGCGGTTGGAAGCATGGGTAAAGTGCAGTCTTTGGATCGAAAAGTTACACTCGAGATCCGTGATTTGGATTGCCTTACCCAAGAATCCGAGGTACAACAAGTATTGTCGGAAGCGATAGGAAAGCCAGGAAGCAGGAGAGTGACGGTCTTAGGACCCAACCGCCGAGGGATGAAGCTCGCGGTTGTAGTCACCAACCTGGAAGAGGCGAACAGGCTGGAGAAATTGGGACACGCAAAAATTGGTTTTATGTGTTGCCCAATTAAAAAAAGAGTAATAGTCGTCCGGTGTCATCGATGCTTGGGATACGGTCATATTAGAGCGAAATGCCAGAAGTACTATTCTTCTAACTTTTATATATTTGTTTATTTATTCTTTTATTTGATTTGTTTGTGTTTTTATTTCATTTGTCCTTTTGGCTGCGTCTACAATAGAAAAAAATAATGTGTAATTTTTAGTATAATGTGTATTGTTTTTGGCATTGACAACTGTCAGGGGCAATTACACTATATATTACACAATTTTCTACACATTATTTTTTCTGTTGTAGACGCAGCCTTTACAATTTTACCTTTTGACCTTAATACATATGTGTTTAATTGATTCATTTCTGTTTTTTATTTCCGTTTACAATTTTGCCTTTAACTTTAAACACTTTTTAACATTTGTTCCTTTATTCTTCGACATTGAAATAGTTTAAAATTTTAACTATTGACGCAGGAGAACCGCAGGAAAAGAACAAAGTCACAATAGCGACAGAGTTGGAGCGCTGCCCTCTAAGGCTAAAGTCTTACGACAGTTCCGAGGGTGGGTAAAAGGCTTCAAAAGAAGGGTTACGGGTTTTAGTGGGTCGGGGCTGTCAGTAGGTCGCCAGTTTATTAAATTTATTATGTCATTTATTTTTTTATTTTTTTCTAAATTTCTTTTTGTTTTTATTATACCAACCCCACATAACCTTGGAGTGCGGAATCCAAGGTATCTGTAGACAGATTTCCCAAAATTCCCTAAGCAAAAATATATATATATTAATTCTAAGTGGTAGATGCTAATTTAAAAAAAGAATAGAAAAAAATTTCTTTTTCTCTTTTTTATTCCAATGTTTGGTTGCTTGGTTTCAATTAGTAAAATTCCAGTTTGTGGCTTATGTGATTTTTTAAAACAGTTAAATCTCCTTAAATTTTAGTCACAATTTTTTTTTCTTTAAATTTTAATTTTAATCCTTGAGGCATATCCTAACCTATATATTATTATGTTTGGTGAGTAAACTAATTAATACCTATTTTTTACATTTTCTTAGGTCCTAGTGTTTTCTTGGGAAGTTTTATTGTCTAGTGTTTGATTATCCTGTTGCACTTCCTCTTCGTAGAAGCCGATCTTGACGCCTTCCATTTCTTCTTCTTGTTGTTCCTTTGCTTCCTGCATATTATCATTTTCTGTTTCGATTCTTTCCAATAATAATCCTAGATTGGCTGTCGACGTCATGTTGTCATTCTCATAAGGACTGTTCACATTCTTATTTTCAAAATTTGGCATATAGGTTTGTGTAGAAGTAATCGGCGGGTTTGTGTTTGCTCTTTCGATGTACTGGGAAATGGAAAGTCCCTAGGGGAAGATTGAGGTGACCTATTATCATCTACTGATGACTCTTCTTCTGTCTCAGAATTGACGTAGTTCCTTGGGTCGCACCAATCTTGTTCTAAAACTCTCTTTCGCGCTGCTTCCAGTGATAAATTGTTCACGTACCTTTCTCTCATTAATTTAAACTCGAACTTGAAGACCGGACATTCTTTTGACGATGCTTTGTATTCTTCTCTACAATTATAGCATTTGCTTCCTTGATATGGGTTCCTACAGGACTCTGATTCGTGTTTTTGCGAACAATGTTAACAGTTGGGGCGAGACGATTTACATTGATCCAATACATGCCCAAACCTCTGTCATCTAAAGCAGCGTTTATGGATAGGAATAGAAGGTGTGACATTAATCCTCGTGCTCCATGCGTATACGAACCTTGGAATCCGTGAAGTATTAAAAAGGAAGTCAATAATTTTCGTGGGATGACCATCCCTTCTTCTTATTCTGCGACGCGCAGAAGAAATTGCTTGTCTACATTCTTCGTACAGATTTTCGATGATTTCGGTAATTGAGTGCTCAATGCGTGCTTTTATGAAAGCTTTTTTATATAGCAGCGAATCTGGCAAGTATATTTTATATCCCCCCGACTTCAGTGCTTCTGCTGCAAGTAGAGTATTCGCATCTTCTCTTTCATGACACCAGATCTTTATCTATTTCCGTCTGCTAATGGTAATTCTCCTGTTTCCACTTATGGTATTCGCGATTAATTTTCCGATTGCAATGAGGTTGTACCTCCCCAGGTTTCTATCTTCCATTGCTGATTCAATTAATTAAGACCATATACGGGGGATCGAAGTATTGATCGTACTGTACCACTATTTCCAGATTGTGAGCCTTCCATGCCAAGTTAGGGTTGTCGATTCCTCTGAGTGTTTCATTCCGTTGCGCGGTTTCTGGAGGTGTTGTAGAAGCCTGTTGTTGTTGTTGAACTTCTCCTTCCGCTCCTATTTCCCTATCATTGAGTGGTTGATTTTTTTGTATGTCCTGAAAATTCATGGTGTTAGTTAAACCTGCAGATGACTTTTGTTTATTAGTGTGGTTATTATTGTTATTAGCATCATTGTTTCCATTTTTATTATAGCCCTTGTTTTGATACATATTACCTTGGATATTTTTTTTAATCGTTTCTTCAATTGATTAGTCAAACCAGACAGCGAATTTTCTCTCGACGTGGAATGATCTCTTTTGTTGATAGGATTCTATCCTGGAGTAGAGATTCCTGTCGGTGTAAGAAATTGTAGAGAAGTAAGAGTCAGTTCCTGCTTTTCATTACTCAATAGAAATTAATTAATTAGAAATCGCTGAACTCGGTCTGGAAGGGAATTCTTCAGAACTGCTTTTATTTTGTAAGTCCATATGGCGATAACCCCTCCCTCGTGTATGGAATCTGCTTATTTCCATTTGATGTTCTTGGGTGAGTTCCTTGCTGTCATTTTCCTCCTCTATTCGTTGTTGTTTCGGATCCTCCATGTTTAAGTTACTTCTTTTATCTGATAAAAAATTATAAATAACTAAATAGTTCTTTTTTTATAACCCTTTCGGTTGACTATCTATATTTTCCTTCTTGTCTCTTTACTTTTTACTATACTAATCTCACCTTAAAATTTTAATATATGGTTTTGTGCCTCGAAAAAGAATTTATTATCTTTTAAACATATTTTACATTGATTATTAATCTTCTATTAATCCTAAACTTAATCTATCTGTTTATTCTGAGCTTTTCCAATTTTAAATGCTTTTTTTAATTTTTATTTTATATATATATATTTTTTTTATTTTTTTTTCTTAAATCCTAACTCAAACAATCAAAATTCAGTTTAAAATCCAAATCTTACCGTCCTTTATCCAGCGTTGGTCGCCAGGAAACTGGTGAAGAACAAAACTTTTTTTAAAACAAATACCTATGTTTGCCTTTAGAATTAGACCAATTCTATTCTGGAATAAACTCTTGTTATATCAAGCTGAATACACATAAAGAAAATATTGCAAGAAAAACAAGTTGTTCATTTCAAGACCATTTAGCTTCCTCAATATATAAATAGAAAATCCTAACGTAATTCACGTACAAAATTTTGAAATTGAAATTCAAAAATTTGAATTTTTTGTGAAAAAGAAAAATATTTATTAATATTATAAATTTTAATAAAATATATTGTGACGTATGAATTTAACTAATTTTATTTTAAGTTAAAGTTTCTGCTTTACGTCAGGCAAAATCCGACGTTTCCAACAAATTTAATAATATGAAATCTAAGTCAATAAATTTCGCCGTCAGGCGCCAATTAATTTTGAAGTTAAATTAATAAACTACTCTACTCTTTAACAATCAACTCGACAAACAACGACCCCTCTGAGACGCTCTCAATCGTCAGAGGAAATTCTGCTTGAACAATGTTGGCAAGCAGAAATGCCAACGACGAGACACGACTGGCAATAGACTGGCAAACGACTTACCCACGATGAAAAATGTCCCTCCTATTCCTCCTCTAGCTCGTCAAGCTCCCGGTCTCGGCTGAGTGCTGGCGATGATGCGAATAATCCACAAGAAAAGGGAAAAGGGGAAACAATAATCAATTACTTTTACAACTTCACTAATTTATTTTATAATACAACGGTGAGCTTCACGCTCCTTACTTCTTCGTACACTACTTAAATTCACTTCGAAAACTAGTAAAGAACAGAAAATGAAATTTTACTGGCGGCGATGTAATAACGTACTAGCGCGGCGAACGTAAAAATTGCACAATGGCGGCGAAAGTATTATCCACCTGTGGCGTCTAATTTCTCCGCACGTGTCTCGTCTTCTTCTCCTAATTCTCCAAAAATAGTACTGGCCCTGCCATCTACCACTTTCTCCGGTGAGCTAGCCGCGCGACCTACTTTGTTTCATACTAGTGGGTCAGCCGGCGGCACTAACTCTCTCCAATTACCATAATGATTGATATGTCGGTTCGGGGATTTCTCCGACAGGTGACATAACGATTCATAATTTCGACAATTGTATATAAAACGACATTTCACATCGTCACAATCCCCTCCCCATGACCGGTATTATTTTACATCATACCGTCATCATTATGATAATCTTGGCTCTACTCCTGGCTCTCCCACTTCCTCTGGCTCTCCTACTCTCTCTACGGCTCTCCTGCTCTTTCTCTGGCTCTCCTTTTCTATATAACAACGACTCTCCTACTCTTTCTCTGGCTCTCCTCTTCTACACGACAACGGTACTCCCGTTCTACTTTTCTTTCTTCTGCTTCGACTTTTTTCTCTCTTCTAACAGTTGTCGTACTGCTAGATCTACTGTTGAAGTCGGAAGTCCCGCCAGTGCTCTAGTTAGTTCCAATAGTTTCGTGACCAAGTCCTCATCTCCTGATTCGGATTCATGTTCTTCCTGGTGAACGCTGTTTCCTCGCTCTTCTTCGTTCTCCGATTCTTCTCCTACCAATGGTTTTGGTGCTTCTTTATCCAGGGTTGCTTGTCTCTCTTCTTCCTCTGGTGGCTCTTCCACGATGGACTCGATCATCACGTCTGCTATCTCATTTGTCTCGGATCTCGTATCATTAGTCTCCACTACTTCCTCGTAACGCCTTGGACAGCCTGCGAAGCGATGATATGCTTCGGCGCATCTTGGGCAGTTTCTAATTGTCGTCTCCCGACGTCCACAGTTTCGACAAAATTGATGTCGAATTGGATGAGGGCAGTCTACTACTCTGTGGCCACGTTCCCAACAGTTGAAACAACAAAACGGAGGCGGATCCGGCTTTCGGCTGTTTCTATGGGGCTCTTTGGGACGTGTACCCGTCTCTACTGCTCGTCTAACCGGTGGCCCTGGCTGAGGTGAGTGGGAACGTTGAGCCCTTGGTGTTGGCTCTCCGCTCTCCATGTCCTCTTTTCTTAGCACCGGTTCTTTTCTCTCTTTCAAGGCTTTACGTTGTTTGGCTCTGACCATTTCCAAACATACCGAGGTCATTGGTCCTTTTGGATTGAGGAATGCCTCCAACTCATGTTCAGCAAGTCGGCTCTCGTATTCCTCTTGGCTCTCGTCCTGTCTGTGATCAGCCGGCCAACGGTACGGTATTACTACCTCAGCACCATCAGGTCGAATTTTTGCTTTCGGCCCACTATCGTATGATTCAAGTTCACTTAGATCTGCCCAGTGCTCTGGTGACAAAATCGGTTCCATTGACAGACCTACGGCACCTTCTTTTTCTTCTAGACTGGCTCTCCTTCCTACTTCCGATGACGTCCCTGGTTCTTCTTCACTATTCACACGGCGGACTACCAATGGCTCTTGTTCCACTCTTTCAACAATTGGAAATGATAAGAATGATGGGCCCACCATTCTGGCATTTCCGGTGTCGAACTCTGGGAATGGACGGTGTCTGGTTTGTGGCCTTCCACGTCCATCCGTTCTGTTCCTCTCATGTTCGTGTTCTTCTCGTCTACGTCCGCTTCTATCTCGCGCTCGACGGCTCCCTGGTGGAGTGTACGGCATGGCTCTTCCCTGGTCTTTCCTCTCGGCCCACCTCCTCTCCACTCGGCTCTTCGCTCGATCTAAAACAATATAATTAATGTACAACAAGAACAATAGTGATTTACAACGGTGGGTTAGGTAGGTATGGTTTCAGGTCGGTTATGTGGACTTTAGGTACTCGGCGGCTCTGTTCGTCTCGTAAGATGAAAACAGTTGGCGATAAGACCTCAATGATCTCATATGGACCTTCGTATTTCGGCGCTAATTTGGTCGTGAACTTCTGTGCCCCACTGGACAACTTATGGGTCTTTCGCAACACTAAATCACCTACTTTAAAAGTTACTTCTCTCCTACCCTTATCGTAATATTTCGCTTTTGTTCGTTCTTTGTCTATATGTCTTGCTACTATGTCTCTCAACGCGTCTAACCTCTTGATTCTATCTACCCACTCTTCCGGCTCGATTCTAACGACTTTTCTCTTTCTTTCGACTTCTCTTCGTAGGCTCTTCACTGGTTTAGGGTGTCTTCCGTAGTTCAGGAACGCGGGAGACGTCTTAGTGGCCGCTTGTGTTGCTGTGTTCACAGCATGGCGGAACTCGTAAACATGAAGGTCCCAATGTCTATGATCGGCACCAATGAAAGTGGAGATCATAGTTTTCAAAGTCCTGTTGCTCCTCTCGACTGGGTTGGCTTGTGGGTGGTAAGGTGGCGTCGTAATGTGTTTGACTCTGTATTCCTCAAGCGTTGACTTGAGAAATTTGTTGTCAAACTCCTTACCATTGTCGGTTAGTAAGTACTCCGGCGTTTCCCATCTAAATAGGACCAACTCCTCAAATGCTTTGGCTACCGACTTCCCATCAGCTGACCTCAGTGGTTTCACCTCAATCCACCTCGAGAACAAGTCCTGGAACACTACCAGGTACTTGCACTGGCTCTTACTCGGTGGAAACTCCATCGTATCGGCAGCTACTACGGCCCACGGTCTCTCGACGATCCTCTGGCCCATCAGTCCGACTGGTCCGGTTTGAGATACCTTATGCAGTTGGCACTGCAGACAATGTGTCACATAGTGGTGTACATCGTTCCATATGCCTGGCCAATAGTACTCTCGTGCAATACGATCGCAAGTTTTCTCAATCCCCAAGTGTCCGGCTGATGCTTGGGCGTGGCCATCTTCTATCACTCGGGCTCTGTACTCTTCTGGCACCACCAGTTTCCAGCCATCCTCATCTCCGTTTATCGGCAGTAAAAGTGGGTCGCTCCGATGGCGATATAGGTTCTCGTTCTCAACGATCCACCCTGGAAACCTCTGAGGATACTAGCTCACCAACTCTCGGCGTTTGAGGTACCACTGGTCCTCAATAGATTCAAACGCGGCTACTGACTCTTCCTCATCTTCTTGCAATCTGGACAATGCATCTGGGACGTGATGTTGTGCACCTCGTCTGTGAACTATCTCGAAGTCCCACTGCTGCATTTCCAGGGCCCATCTGGCTAATCGGCCTCTAGGGTCTTTCAAGTTCCTGAGCCATTTTAGGGCACTGTGGTCCGTGATCACATGGAATTTGTACCCCTCGATGTATGGCCTGAACTTTTTGATCGACCACAGTAATGACAGACACTCCTTTTCTGTCACACTGTAGTTTCTCTCTGGCTCCGTGAGGACTCGGCTAATATAGACTATCGGGTGTTCTCCGTCTTCAAATTCTTGCGTTAATACGGCTCCGATCGCATAGTTGCTGGCGTCACACTGGATGGTGAATTTCTTTGTGAAATCTGGTCGGGCTAAGACTGGCGCAGATGTCAGTTTCTGCTTAAGCTGTTCAAAAGCTTCTTGTTGTTCATCCCCCCATTCCCACGTTCGGCCTTTATGTAACAACTTCAGCAATGGTATTTTGATTTCGCTGTCGTTTGGAATAAAGCGGGAATACCACCCAACCATGCCTAAGAAACGTCTGAGTTGTCTCACGTTCTTCGGCTCTGGGTAGTTTTTCACTGGCTCTGTCTTGTTCGGATCTGGCCTCAAACCCTCTCTGTCTAATAAGTAACCCAGATAAGTAACTTCGGAGCACCCGAACTCACACTTATCTGGATTCACTATCAACTTCGCCTTGTTCAATTTCTCGAGGACGAACTCCAGCCACTTGACATGTTCCTCAAAGGTGTCTGTGACTACTATGATGTCGTCTAAGTACCCGAAGACATGCGGCTCTACTTTTGGTCCTAATAATGAGTCGATCATACGTTGAAACGTCATCGGCGCATTCATTAGTCCAAATGGCATTCGTCGAAACTGCCACAATCCTGATCCAGGTATGGCAAAGGCGGTGTACTTCTTACTTTCTTCGGCCATTGGGATTTGGTGGTATGCCAGTTTGAGGTCGACTTTTGACAAATATCTGGCTTTTCGGAGTTTATCCAAAATGTAGTCAATAGATGGCAGTGGGTAACAATCTTTTATTGTTACTTTGTTGACATCTCTGTAGTCATTACATTGTCTGAAGTCGTTTTCTCCTCTTCTCGTGATCACTGGTGCACTTCTCCAACGGCTGGCAGATGGCTCGATGATTCCCAATTTGTACAACTTCGCGGCATTACCTTGGGCCCAAGTCAACATGGCTGGCGACATCCTTCTAATACCATGTTGTACTGGTGTTTCGTCTGTGACACGTATGTGGTGTTCTGTTAGATCCGTCATTCCGTGTTCTTCCGACTCTGGTAGTACCCATTTGTCCACTATGGCTTGAATGATACCTTTTTGTTCGTCATCGAGCGCAGAAATACCGGTACATTCGGCAAATATTAGATTCTCGTTCTGGTCTCTTTCTCTTGGCCCAAATTCATGCCATTCTCCATTAAATACTCTCCACTGTCCTTCTTTCAGCTTCACGTCCATTTCCCAGGCCTTGCAGAAGTCGATGCCCAAGATGACGTCCTGGGTCAAAGTATTCATTACTTTGACTGCGAATCGTTGTGCGTGTCCGTCGACTACTATATTAAGGTCCAAGATACCGGCTGTTTCAGTGGTACCTCCTGTTGCACTCCTTACAATTGTACCACACGGCTGAATTCGGCTTTTGAATGGCTCTGCGACTCCGGCTTTGATTACTGAAATCATGGCACCAGGATCGAAGAGTGCTTCGTAATGGCGGTCACCGATTGACATTTCAAAAAATATCTATTTTCTGTTCTAGTCCCATCGATGTCTTCTTCATTACTTAAGTTCGGGTCAGCTGTGACTCTCACAGCCTCTCCCCTCCCCTGGACTATAGGTACCGGGATCACATCCGTACCTTTAGTCCCACTCTCTTCGGCCATTTTCTCTACTTCGTTTCGGTAGAGTGAGCTCTCCTCACTCGACCGCTCTTGTCTAATTTCTGGCCCGAATTTGAACGCTTTGTCCTCTGTCAAGTCGTCCCTACCTATGACTGGCTCTAAACTTTTCTTAACTTTCATTTCTACTTCTAATTCTACTCCTCTTTCAGTTTTTACCCAACTACAACTGGGCGTGAATCTATCTCTATACTCGCTATTTATCCCTATTCTATATGGCTCAAAACTCTCAGCTCTCCTCTCTACTACACACGGCTCACTAAATTCGGCTCTCGTCTCTACGACCCTCGGCTCACACAATTCGGCTCTACACCCCTCGACAGTATTACTTACTGTCCTATTGGGTTTGAGGGGGGTACAGGGCTGCTCTGTGCTCCCCACACGCCGTTTCCCAAGGCGGCTCTGACAGACACACAATTTGGGCAATTTAGAAAATTGCATCCTGGCCTCTTACATACCAAACACGCTTCTGTTTGGGCTGGCTTCAGAGGGCATTGATTTGCATAATGCCCCTGTTGCTGGCAAGAAAAACAGGTTCTCTGAGGACAATCTCTGGCTCGATGTCCTGTAGTCTGACAGTGAAAACATACCCCAACGAATTCTTTAGGGGTATTTTGGGTTTGTGTACCATTTTGCCCCGGCTTGGGTCCTTTAGACCCATTTGGCCTGGGGTAATTTGGTTTCATTCCAGGTGGAAACATCCCTGGATAAACCATTGGGTACGCGAATTGCATTGGCATTTGTACTGCTAGTGGTGGCGCTGTACTGACAACTTGACCCTGGACCACTGCTGGCTTCTGATTCGGTGTTGCTGGACTGATGGCCTCAACACTCTTTTCTTCTGGCTTGTTTTTCTCTTTCTTACTTTTTGGGCTCTTCTTCTTCTTTTTCTTCGGCTTATCGGCTTTTGTGGAGTGATCGCTTTCACTCGACTCAGGCTCTTTCTCCAAGGCGGCCACTTTTTCGCTCTTTACGTGTTTGTGACCACTCTTTCTTTCTTTTACGGCCGCTGACGGAAAACGCATCTTTTCCTTAGGTGGGGGCGGGGCATATCTTTCGTCCAAGTCCTTTGCCTTCTCGTAGTTCCTTAGGATCTTCTCCATCTGGCTCACTGACTCGAACTGCAGTCTATCCAGTTGGCGTCGGTAGGCTGGAGTCAGGCCTTTGTAGGCCACCTTGATTTGTTGTTTCTGGCTCAAAGGTCGTTTCATGTGACCTAATATTAGTCGGAAACTTGTCAGGTATGGGGAAATTTCCTCTCCCTTGCCCTGAGTCCTGGCTTTTAATTCGTCTATGACATCATCATCGTCGACCACAACCAAGTACTCATTTTTAAAAGCTCTTTGGAATGACCTCCAAGAACTTATTTCACGGCGCAGCGACCTGAACCAACTTCTACAGTCTTCCAGTCTCTCCAGAAATTCTTCGGCATTGTCTTCATCTCCAAAGAATTTTAGGTCCCAATCCTTAAGGGTTTTGATCACTTTTGACCTCCGACCGGGCTTCAATTTTTCGCTTTCTCCCCCACTACTTAGGTGTTGACTCAGATCACTCTCAGATTCGGACTCACTCGTAGAGTCATCTAAGATTGATCTTCGGTTCTCCTTTGCGGCTTTCTTCGGCTTTCGTGTTTTTCTCTCCTTTCGTTCAAATTTCAAAAAAAAAATTTTTCAAAAATTTCAAATTTTTCAAATTTTCAAATTTTTTCAAATTTTTCTTTTTTCAAATTTTTCACAATTGGTGTTTCAATAAATTCGTCACTATCTGGCCAACTTGCATGATTTTAATTTTTTCCCATGCTCGGCGTACGCATGGTACTTCAATTAATTCGCTCATGCGTCTCTTGTAATCCTGCATCTCGTCAATTGCCTTTGCCATTTCAAAAAAATTTTAAAGGAAAAATTTTCTAAGTCTGAAAATTTAATAATGTGATTTGTTAATGTGATGTGAGTGCGGGGTCTCGGCTACTGGGGTGCTATTCTGTATCTTCACTTCACTTTCACTTCACTTTCACTTCACATTCACTTCACATTCACTTCACATTCACTTCACATTCACTTTACATTCACTTCACATTCACTTCACTTTCACTTCACATTCACTTCACTTCACATTCACTTCACATTCACTTCACATTCACTTCACTTCACATTCACTTCACATTCACTTCACTTTCACTTCACATTCACTTCACTTTCACTCCACATTCACTTCACTTTTCACTTTCAATGCGAAGTGAATGTGGAGTGAAAGTGAAGTGAATGTGAAGTGAATGTGAAGTGAAGTGAATGTGAAGTGAATGTGAAGTGAATGTGAAGTGAAGTTACAGAATAGCACCCCTGGCTGTTTTCTTTGGGGGGACACAATTCTGGATTCTTGATGATGGGTCAATTTAAATCCGTCCCTGACTGTGGCCCTACATTGGCTTTGTTGCCATTCCCAACCCCCTTCCGAATACTGTCTGTCCATTTTCTCAGCATAAGCTGCTAGCCTCTTAATTTCGGGAGATACGCCTAACCTCACTACCGAATCTCGCATGGTTTGTACGCTAGGTGCCATTGTAGCCGATTGAATAGTGTGGGGCGCTGTCATGATCGTGCTCGTTGTCATACTCATTTGAGCACTGGTTGTGATGGGGGAAAACGTCGTCATGCTGGCTGTTGTCATGACTGGGGTTGGGGGTGTAAAATTTGGGGTGGACGCAACGCTGGTCGGACTGGGTCTACTGTACGATGCTCCATTTTTGGTTTTACTTCCCCCACTCCCTCGGGTTTTCCTGGCACTAATACGCTCGATGACCTGACTCGCCCCGCTGTCTGATGTTTCGTCATCTGCCGATGACATCTGGCCACCCCTGCGATAATTCACAAATGGAAATTTTTCCATTTCTGGCTCCGGGAACGCTTCCAACCAAAAGATTTTGTCGGAATTTTCTAAGTCATACCGGTCGCAAAATGGCACATCACTACCGTCGTTTAGTGCTAATCTCATTTCCGCTCGCAATAGCCTCTCTTTCAAAACTTGTGGCGAACCACTGATACACAATTGGTGTTTCAATAAATTCGTCACTATCTGGCCAACTTGCATGATTTTAATTTTTTCCCATGCTCGGCGTACGCATGGTACTTCAATTAATTCGCTCATGCGTCTCTTGTAATCCTGCATCTCGTCAATTGCCTTTGCCATTTCAAAAAAATTTTAAAGGAAAAATTTTCTAAGTCTGAAAATTTTTTAAATTTTTAGGGGGGTGCGCAATTAGTATATACAGCACTGTGCTGTCTTGAAGCAAGGACGTGACTACTCAAGGAGGGCCCCCTTTAAAATTTTTAAATTTCTGGCGGACTGGTGATTCGACTCTCCCTTTGCCTCTTCTTCTTGTTCTCTCTCTCTGTGTGTAGCCGCTATTACTACTACTACTAGGCCACTATTTCCTGGCGCGCGCAACTTTCTCTCGGCTGTCGAAATTTTTAAATATCCCGGCGCGTCGTTTCTCTCGACCGTCCGGCGCACTATTTACAGTCACGTGACTAATTCGAATTTTATTTCCGGCCTCACATGTGCTCGGCATAAAATTTTGGGGAAAATCTTTGATTTTGCACAAGTTTTTTGGGAATTTTACTCGGAATTTTCTCACAAAACTGGCCTTCGACAAACAAAAAAAAATTTTAATTGTTGAGTTTAATTTTTATCACGGCAGGGAATTTTTATAGTCTCAAAAGAAAAGGAAATTTTTCAAATTAAATGGCAAAGGCACTCTACAATTTTAATTTGCACGATTTTTGGCAACAATTTACTCATAAATTATGAATGAATAAATTTGGGCATTAGCAAAATAAATTAATAAACAATTTGGCAATGGAAATTTTGAATTTTCTTGGCAAGAACAAATAATCTTGTCTGGCTATGACAATTTTGAAAATTCAAAATTCTGGCAATATAATCACAATAATACACAAAGAAAAATATTCTGGCAATCAATAAATTTTAGTCGTGTCTCGGTTCGAGCCTGGCCCCACGTTGGGCGCCAAATTTTGTGACGTATGAATTTAACTAATTTTATTTTAAGTTAAAATTTCTGCTTTACGTCAGGCAAAATCCGACGTTTCCAACAAATTTAATAATATGAAATCTAAGTCAATAAATTTCGCCGTTAGGCGCCAATTAATTTTGAAGTTAAATTAATAAACTACTCTACTCTTTAACAATAAACTCGACAAACAACGACCCCTCTGAGACGCTCTCAATCGTCAGAGGAAATTCTGCTTGAACAATGTTGGCAAGCAGAAATGCCAACGACGAGACACGACTGGCAATAGACTGGCAAACGACTTACCCACGATTAAAAATGTCCCTCCTATTCCTCCTGTAGCTCGTCAAGCTCCCGGTCTCGGCTGAGTGCTGGCGATGATGCGAATAATCCCCAGGAAATGTAAAAGGGGAAACAATAATCAATCACTTTTACAACTTCACTAATTTATTTTATAATACAACGGTGAGCTTCACGCTCCTCACTTCTTCGTACACTACTTAAATTCACTTCGAAAACTAATAAAGAACAGAAAATGAAATTTTACTGGCGGCGATGTAATAACGTACTAGCGCGGCAAACGTAAAAATTGCACAATGGCGGCGAAAGTATTATCCACCTGTGGCGTCTAATTTCTCCGCACGTGTCTCGTCTTCTTCTCCTAATTCTCCAAAAATAGTACTGGCCCTGCCATCTACCACTTTCTCTGGTGAGCTAGCCGCGCGACCTACTTTCTTTCATACTAGTGGGTCAGCCGGCGGCACTAACTCTCTCCAATTACCATAATGATTGATATGTCGGTTCGGGGATTTCTCCGACAGGTGACATGACGATTCATAATTTCGACAATTGTATATAAAACGACATTTCACATCGTCACAATATGCTTTGTATAGAGGAGAACGGGGCGAGGCAGCCAAGACGGCACATTTTGGTTTGCGAGGCAGTTATTTAAATAGGTTTTTCAATTTTAATATCGCTAAAAAATCGCCATAGAACATTTTGACGTAGGTTGCACTTAAAAATTTCTACAACCCTTTTCCCAAAGGACCACATTTTGGCATATTTGAAAAAACGTGGGGTGAGGCGGCCAACTATTTTAATAGTTAAAAAAACACAACTTAAAGTTAAAATTAGTGAAACATAACAAGGCAGTTGTCCTTAACTTACTTTTATTTTGTTAGTAAACTTCAATAATTTACATTTGAATAATATTACCTAATAATAAAATTAATTAAATTCAATTTAACATTTTAAGGAAATATAAATTTGTTATTCTTAAAAAATGGTTTATAAAATTTAATTTTAAGTATAAAATGTATTGAAGTAGAAAAAAAGAGAAAATATTTAGAAGAACCAATAAAATCAACACAAAAAGACAAAAAATTTAGCGTTGGCTGCCTAACCCTACAAGTACTTTTTTAAGAAAACATTTACAAAACCCGTAATATTAAAAATATCGCAATTCTATTAACACCATCGTCTTCAGCACTAAATTCTGCATTGAAAATCACTTTACAAGAATTTTATTCGTGTAACTCTATTAACTAAAATCACCAAACATAACTCTTAGAAAAGTTACATCCAAAAAAGCTGTTTTCATAAATGATACTGTCACTGCTAAATTGCTGCAGCAATAATTCCCATCTTTTAGCAACTAAAGTAACCTACCATAAGCAGTCTACATTATCAATAGCGCACGATTTGAAAAAATTATGCAGAAATAAGAAGCAATTGGCTGCCTCGCCCCGTTCTCCTGTACATTAATCGATTCGTTTTCTTGTCAGGAATGTAATTTTGAGAATAATTAATGAAAATACTAACAAATAAAAAAAAATTTTTCTAAATTTTAAATTAAAAAAAAAATTACAAAAAATTAAATAAATTTATTTAAAAAATTGTATAACAAAAATTTTGTAGATATTTTTGAAAATCCTTGTGTCAGATTTTAGGTAATAATGACTGCAATAAACCTGCAAAATTTCAGGACAATCCATCAAAATTTGTCTGAGATAATTTGTACACAATTTTTGTGACATACACACATACACACACATACATCTGGACATTTGCTCAGAATTGAATATACATATGTTTTAGATGAAGATGAGTCCATATAACCTTCTTTTGAAAAATTGAAAATCGTCACGAATGCAAAGTTTCCTCATAAGGAAGCAAAAAGCAAGCAATAAAGCAACAGCTTAAATCCAACTTAAGACTACAGCAAATCAAAACACCGAAGCCAGGTTAGAGCACCGGTAAATATAAGCCAGTGCCTTCCCGATCTAATTGATATATTTATTTTATTTTGGATGCATTGACATGCAACACTTGTAAAATTGTAATTATACTTCGTCCAAATTTCACTGTCTTTCTTTACCTTGTACTTATGATCTACTTTACTAACCACTTTAAATTCAAAAGCCAGTTATAATCGATTATTTCAAATTATTTTAAATTTTAATTGTTTTAAATTACCATCTGCATTCAACACATATCCATATATAATAATAATTGTTTATTTACTCTCCCTGCATATGCAGGGTTCGAGACTCCCAAGAACATAGATAAATCAACTTATTCTATATTTCCAGTTCCTTTTTATGCCCATGCTGGCCTCGTCTCATCTTTCCTACCCCGTTTTTTTAATTTAACCCTATTTCCACCTTTATGCTTCAATCATATCACTCTTCAATCACATCCATTTTCTCTTCCTCACTACCCAACTCCACCAGCCATAACTTTGGTACACCATTCTCACCCATTCCTATCGCTTTCACCGTTTTAACACTTACACTGACCCCCACCCACGCCACGCCACCAACCAATTTCTGTTGCTCGTTAACATGATATCACTTATAACTAATTTTTTGCGACAAATATTTCAGCACTTTGTGCTTTTAATGCAAATGAATACGAAGTTCTTTATTAATAAAAAGCAAAAAATATACCTTGAACAAAACAACACATTTATACTTTTGTTACTTCTATAAAAATGTTTTAGCATGAAGTCCTTTTCTGTTAATCTTTGGCGAAGAACGTATAAAATACACATAATCACACATATGTATAATAAAGCACATTTTAGACTTATAGACATAAATAAAATGAACTAGTAAGTTGAAGACAATAATATATGAAAAATAAATTGAATGTAATTATTGTTTGTTAGCACGTCGTCGGTTCTCATATATCTTCTCCGATAAATATTTGGTAACCTTGCCCACTCTTCGTTTCCTGTCAAACCCTCGAATCCCAGCAGAAGTAAGTTTTCGATGTAACAAATCTGTATAAAAAAAAGAAATATTATTATTGTAAGGAATATTTGATAATTTAAGATTGTAATTTAAATAGCATTCTTTTTATCAGTTCACATTTTTGAGAAGTAAGTTATTTTCTGTACTTCTTATTGCCCTCTTCAATTCCTCTGTTAACTCTAACTTTTTGCAAGCATCTTTTTTCTAAACTTGCAGAACCCCAAATTATTTCCGCCAACTCTTTTACAAAAATGGCATCTTTCTTTCGACAAATAGATTCCCAAGTATCTATATTGACATGAATATTTTCGCCTAAATGTACCTATTGAAAAATAAATTTCAGTAAACATACATATAAATTATCATTTGTCGATTATTTAATAAAATAATTTTTTTAACTTAGAACGTGCTGTCAAACATACTTACTAGTTCATCATCGGCATTTTTATTTTCCTCTACATTGGAGGGTCTTGGTGGCGCACGATTTCTTGGTCTGAATATTAATGCAGGTGCAGCATTAACTTCTGCAGGTCTTTGCTGAGCACGATTTCTTGGCCTAACTAATACTGCCGGTCCAACATTTCCCTCCACAGAAACTGGTCTTTGAAGAACAGCATTTCTTGTTTCGAGTAAAGCATTTTCCTTGGCAGGACCTTGTATTTGAGGATTAGGATTTATAATTTCGTCTGTATTATTTTCCTTTGTAACACCTGATCTTAGAGTAGAAATGCAGAAATTCATAGAGAAATTAATCATCTGACATCCGCTGACAAATTGCGTGCTGAAATTGCTAGGCTATGTAATTTGAATGATGTTCAGAATCTTAAGTTGATTCAAATGCAAATACAATTAACTAAAAAAACAGGAGATGTTAGGGGGCAATTAATACGAACCGTGTTCGTGTTTAGTTTAAAAATCAATAAAATCATTTAATCAATTATAACGATTTTAAAGAGGAGTTTTTAGCAGAATTCTTTGCCATTCCCATCAAATTGAAGTCGGAATGGTTGTCGCGGTGTTTTGATACGAATACTGACAATTTGCAAATTTATTTTTTGAAACAAATTAAAAAAGCCCAATATAAGGACTATAAAATCACGATAATTTTCGAAATTCAATTCCCAACGACGTGAATGCTAGCGGGGAAGGCGGCGTACAAGATATGATTATTTCACTGCGCGATGATATTCATGAAAATTCGAGCCGTTTCACTGGCGACAGTCAAATTTCTAACGTGCAAACTCATACTGCAAGTGCAGTCGCGACGGAAGTCGAAATTAGGGAGGGGGAAAATGCACATGGTGCATGTGGTCCGGAAATTGAAGGCGAAATTATTGATGGTTCGTGCGAAGAAAATAGATTTTTTCTTAAACTTTTTATTGCCGACCGCTCTTATTTGACCCTTTTTGACCCTGGAGCGACTGCATTTCTGCAGTAGGACCTAATCTAGCGCGACAATTTAGAGACAAGTTGGAGACAATGGATTTTGTAATTTCGAGTGCGATAGGGGGTGAAACTAAGGCTTTGTGTAAATTAAGGATGTGGTTCACCATAGATGGCGTTTCTCAATCTTTCGAATTGAGAGCCATAAAATCTTTGAGACACGATTTAATTCTTGGTATGGATTTTTGTAGAAACATGGACATGGATGTCCAATTGGGGAAGGGTTTATGCCGCATTAGTGGCCAGGCTTGGCACGAGTTTGCCGATGGGCCTGGCAAATTATGCGAAGGACAAGTTTCTGCCGAATGTGCTGGTATTTCCAAATTAAATACAGCACATAGGGAAGAAATACAACAACTTGTCGATGAATTAGTGTTACCCCAAGGGCAAGAACATGGTTTGACCACCCTTACCGAGCATAATATTATCGTGACCGATTCCACCCCCATTAAGCACCGCCCCCGTAGGATGTCCCCCATGATGTTGCAGTGGCTCATAGAGGAAATTAAAAAGCTTCTAGAACAGGGTATTATTAAAAGAGCTTCGAGCGAGTGGAGCACTGCACCAGTCATCGTTAAAAAAGGGGATGGGTCCCTGAGACTTTGTTTTGATTTTAGAGACCTTAATGGTGTGACTGTAAAGGATGCGTACCCAATTCCCAGCATTGATGGTATATTGGATAAATTAAGAAAAGCCAGGTATATTTCAAAAATTGACTTAAAGATGGCGTACCATCAGGTACCTATGGGTGAGTCAAGTAAACATTATACGGCTTTTTCTGTCCCTGGTTTGGGTTTGTTCCAATTTAAGCGCATGCCCTTCGGTCTCACTAATGCCCCCATGACCTTTCAACGATTAATAGACGCCCTCTTTGGTCCGGAATTTGAACCAGTCGTGTTTGGTTATTTGGACGATATAATCATAGTTACCGATGATTACGAGGAGCACGTACAATGGCTCAGAACAGTTTTGTTGAGGTTGGCCATGGCGGGGTTAGTAGTGAATCCAAGAAAATGTGAATTCGGGTGTTCAAGGGTAATATATCTCGGATATCTTTTCGATAGTGACGGTTTGCGACCCGACGCCGAAAAGATTGCCCCAGTACTAGATTACCCCGCGCCCCAAAATATTAAACAATTGAGGAGATTTTTGGGGATGGTAGGTTGGTACTCGAGGTTTATAGCCGGTGATAGTGAGCTTAAAATTCCTTTATTGCGT